CTACAACACCTTGCCCTTTGTTCCTTGATTAGCCACGGAGACTAAAGACATTCACATTGTTTCCCTGCCCAAATCTGTCCACCACAGCTTTCAATAATGGAATGAAAAATTAAAATGTTTGCTTCCACAGTACAGAGTCAGACCTTTGGTGTTCCTCAGAAATCTCAGGAATCCAGATTTCCTGTAAATCTTCCCAGCTCCTTTCACCTTATCAGAGGTCAAGTCAAAGTGGCAATAAAAGTTAGGGAAAGAATCTCCTTTCCTCTAGATTTCTGCCCTCTCCCTTCCCAGCCTTTTAGACTAACAGTTCACTCTCCTCTTAAAGAAAGGGAGGAGAACATTCCCCATAAACCCTGATTCCTTTTATCAACACTCATCTTGCCCCCGTACAAAGTTCCTCTTACTTCTTTACTAATTGTATCCTTCTTTTGAATCACTTTCTCTCTGCAGGCTCTAAAAACCAAAAGCTTTCAAGATTCAAAGAAATACATTTCCAGTAAGGAATTTTAATCTACTCAAAGATATAAGGGTAGAAAGAATCAAAAGATGAAGAACCAAAAAAAAAGTTCATCTCTTCCCTGCTCACCAAATAGACAGCTCTGATCTGTATGATACCAGAACTGACTGTATGATTTCAACCAACCCATTGTTATGAAGAGTATGTATACATATAGTGTTTATATATTTATAGATTCATTTTGATTTTTTCTGAAAAGATTCTTTTTTTTTCATTTTAAGGATTAAATAGATGTCAAGGCATCGATTTCTGGAATACTTCGATGATAATATGTGAAAGACATAAAGCTGACAACCCAAGAACTTGCTTCCATTCAAAGTTAGTGCCTAAATTTTTTTATTCAAGGTAAAAATATGATCAAAGATGTCAGGTATATCAATGATATGTTTTTAAAGATCCTCTAATTCTATATATTAGTATGTTGAAAGATATTACTATTATTCTTATTGTTAATGATAAGAAAATAAAAGCATAGGAAGATGGAAGTAACCTTCTCAGGCACATGCAAAGCCAACCCAACTCCAGGCAGCATATGTTTACTGTAACGTACAGGCTTTGCCAGTTTCAAAGGAGAAAATTTAAATAGTTATAAAATCTAACTTTAAATATATTAAGGTAGGCTTTTCCTGGATGTAAAACCAGACACCTTTGAAATTATTTTATTTTCAAGTGTTAGGCAAAATACTCATTTGTATTGCTTTCTCTCTTTTTATCAGATGTCTAACACCATACCTATTAAAAGAGGAAACATGAATTAAAAAAAAAAAAGAAATACCACAAGGTTAATTAATATAACCTAAAGTCAAGGTTAGGGCTGTTGGTTGTTTTTTGCTTTGGGGTCATTTGCAGATTTTCCAAGGTAATCTATTCTATTTATCTTCATTCTAATGATACGAAATTGTAAGGATTTTCTACTGATCACACTACGTAGTCTGTAATCAGAGTTAACTGTAAAAGCACCCCTTCTCTCGGTGTTGTAATCCTGAAGAAGTATTACTTGGATTGTTAATTAAGCCCTTTATGACTTTTCTTTTCTTTTTTTTTTTAAAGATTTTATTTATTTATTCATAGAGACAGAGAGAGAGAGAGAGAGGCAGAGACACAGGCAGAGGGAGAAGCAGGCATCATACAGAGAGCCTGACGTGGGACTTGATCCAGGGTCTCCAGGATCAAGCCCTGGGCTGCAGGCGGCGCTAAACCGCTGCGCCACCAGGGCTGCCCCCTTTATGACTTTTCATGAAAAGACAGTAATTCCAAGAGTAATTTTCAAGTCATAAACAAACAAACAAAAACTTGTGTTAAGATTCAGGTTAGGCCCAGCAGTCTCAAATGAGAGAAGAAGAAAGGTTCTAAAATCTCTTGCCACAAGATTCAAAAATAAAATGTTGGGGGATCCCTGGGTGTCTCAGTGGTTTGGCACTGCCTTCGGCCTGGGGCATGATCCTGGAGTCCCTGGATCGAGTCCTACATCGGGCTCCTTGCATGGAGCCGCTTCTCCCTCTGCCTGTGTCTCTGCCTCTCTCTGTGCGTGTCTCTCATGAATAAATAAATAAAATCTTAAAAAAAATAAAATAAAATGTTAAGAAAGTAAATAAAGGGGCACGTAGGTGGCTCAGTGGTTGAGCATCTGCTTTTGGCTAAGGTCATGATCCCAGGGTCCTGGGATGGAGTCTCTGCCTGTGTCTCTGCCTCTCTCTGTGTCTCTCATGAATAAATAAATAAAATCTTTTTTAAAAAGTAAATAAATATAACACAAATATACAGAAAATAGCAACACCCATTTTTTTTGAAAAAAACAAGTTGACTATGCCATCATAGCTATTAATAAAAATGATAGAAAGTTGCAACATGATGCCATAACCTAAATTCTGCCTTAAACCACATATGTTCCTATATATACATCTTTAGTTTTGCTTAAATTTTGGTTTAAATTTAGGATGAATTTATGACTGTTTTATTTATATATCTGAAAACATTAGCAAAGTATTTCAAGTGTTTTAGTAATTCTAAAACTGTACAGATTGAGGTCATAAAAACCCTTTCCAACCCAAATGTTTATATATACAGCATTGTTCAGACCATAATAAATTAGATGAGCTATTCCACCTTCAATTTTAATGTTTGAAAAAGCATTGCAACAGAGCTGTCATTAGCACCAGGCAAGAGTATACCTGAATTTATCTTTAAAAGAAGCTTAAATTACTCAGCACACAATTTTAGTAAGACTAATCCCCTTCTGTCCCTGGGCAAACCTTGATTTTTTATGCTTCTCATTGCATCAAATCACATGCCTATTATGGGCAACGCCAAAGTTTGAATTTAGAGATCCGTTAGAAAAAAAAAGAGAAAGGAGATTGAATAATTGTCTTTCATAATATATTTGTTTAGTCTTCCAAGAAAATCCTTTCAACAGTCTAGGGTTAAACCTATATTACAAATTAGGAAGAAACAAAGTTGTAATTTTAGGAAGCAGATAGGGAGGAAATTTTGCAAGCAAAGGAAGTGACAAAGAAGAATTGTGCATCTTCATTCCAGTGTGAGGCAAAATGGTCCCCTTCTTTCAACTCTTAGAGAAAATAAGAACCAATCAGAAAAGTAGCTAATGGCTGAGACAGGAAATATGTGACATTCAGGACCATGTCTTATACATAGGATACAGTAAAAATTATTATTCAGGATTTTTAGAGATTGAAAATATGAAGGAAACAGTATGGTGGCTACATAATAGCCTTCTTACACACATCTGTGTACTAGTATTTCACAGGTTTATCTTTATTATGTTCCGCAGCTAGTTATGTAATACTATTACAATACAAACACATCTTTAGCATATACTTTATATGTGTAAAAGGTTTTGATAACATAATCCTTTACAAGAGCAGGGATCTGGAAGCATACTAAATTCTCAATAAAATATTGGATGTCTTGAAAACAAATACCTTATGATTATTCAGAGTAGTACCTGCCAAAAATACAAGAAGATATTTGACTTGTCATAATGTATAACAGCACCGCCTAACCAATAACAACAGGCAATGATCTTGCTTTGGCACTACTACCTTCTTTAATTATTGCCCATTTCCCCTTAGCTTCTATTTTTAACCTAATTAATAACATCATTACTTCCCAAATGCTAGTTCCATATTAACACTTATCCATGACTATCCTTACTTTGTTACAAAATGAGAACATTTTTTTTTAATTTATGATAGTCACAGAGAGAGAGAGAAAGAGAGGCAGAGACACAGGCAGAGGGAGAAGCAGGCTCCATGCACCGGGAGCCCAATGTGGGATTTGATCCCGGGTCTCCAGGATCACGCCCTAGGCCAAAGGCAGGCGCCAAACCACTGCGCCACCCAGGGATCCCACAAAATGAGAACATTAAGAGTTTTGTTAACAAGGTAATTATATTTAATATTGTTATTATATTCTTCCTTCATGTTTGATGTTGCATATTTTTTAATTAATGTAATAGTCAGTGTAAGTTCCTGAGTTAGTGTTGCTATACTGTTGGTTTTTTTAATTGTGGTAAAAAATATGTGACATAAAGTTTGCCATCTTAACCGAGGTTAAGAGTACAGTTCAGTGGCCTTAAGTACATTCATGCTGTTGTGCAACCATCCCCACCATCTATCTCCAGAACTCTTGTCATGGTGGCAGAACTGAAACTCTGAATCTGTTAAATAATAACTCTCCATTCCCTCCTTCTTCCAGCTTGGCAACCACCATTCTACTTTCTGTTTCTATGAAGTTGACTACTCTAAGTAATTCACATAATTGGAATCACTAGTATTTATATTTTGTGACTGGCTTATTTCACTTAGCATGATGTCCTCAAGATTCATCCATATTGTAACATGTGTTAGACTTCCCTTCCTTTTCAAGATTAAATAATATTCCATTATATATAACCACATTTTGCTTTTTCATTCATCTATCATTGAACACTTAGGTTGCTTATGCTGCTGTGAATATGGGTGTACAGATATCTCTTCAAGACTTTCCATTCTTTTGGATATATGCCCAGAAGCCGAGTTGCTGGATCATATGGTAACTCTATACCCTCGGATCAAGATCTGAACTGAGCTCAGAGTAGGATGCATAACTGACTGAGTCACACAGGTACCCTGGTAACTCTATTTCTAATTTTTTGAGAATATGCTATATGGCTTCCCATAGCAGCTGCACCATTTTGTATTCCATCAAAAGTGCACAAGGGTTTCAGTTCTCTATATCTTTGTCAATACTTGTTATTTTCTGTTTTTTTTTTTTTTTTTTTTTTTTTACTGTAGCCATCCAGATTGGTGTGAGGTAGTATCTCATTGTGGTTTTGATTTGCATTTCCCTAATGGTTAGTGATATTACAGTCTTGCTTTATTTTATTTTATATTGTGGGGGGAAGGGCCAAGGGAAGGGAGAGAGAGAATCTTTTTTTTTTATAAGATTATTTATTTATTTATTCATAGAGGCAGAGAGAGAGAGAGAGAGAGAGAGGCAGAGACACAGGCAGAGGGAGAAGCAGGCTCCATGCAGGGAGCCTGACGTGGGACTGGATTCCAGGTCTTCAGGATCACACCCCAGGCTGCAGGTGGCGCTAAACTGCCTGAGAGAGAGAGAGAGAGAGAGAGAGAGAATCTTAAACAGGCTCCACGCTCAGGGCAGAGCTGGTCACAGGGCTTGATCTCACAACCCTGAGATCATGACCTGAGCTGAAACCAGGAGTCGGACACTTAGGGGCACCTGGGTGGCTCAGTCAGTTGAGTGTCCAACTCTTGGTTTCTGCCAGGGTCATGATATTGGAGTGGTGAGACTGAGACCAGCATAGGACTCTGTGCTCAGTGGAGAGTCTGTATATTCTCTCTCTCCCTTTCCCTCTGCCCCACGCCTGCTTGCACACTGTCTCTCTCAAATAATCAATCTTAAAAAAAAAGAAAAAAAAAGAGCCAATGCTTAAATGATTTAGTCACCCAGGTGCCCCACAGTTTTGCTTTATTTTAATGTTCTTAGTTGGTCAAACAAGAACTTGGCAGCTTGCTTAGTGTCTAGTTTTTTTGTAAATGTATTCATTCTTGAAATCTGCAAATCTGAGAGCTATCAATGTACTCTGTTTTCTTCTCATCTTCCATTTACCTCTTCAGTTCATTGCAATTTGGCTTTGGCCCCAATCTCCTCCTGACACCAGAAGTCAACAAATCATTAACTTATTATTGCCAAATAGAATAGATCTTCAATCCTTATATAGTTAGTGAAAAGCATCGAGGCTCTGGAGTCAAACCTTAGAATCCTGTCTCCTTCAACATAGTAGGACCTAAATGTAATTTCTACTCCTGGCCTTCCTGCAGGTAATTTCATCCCTTTGCAGTCCATTCATCCCTTTGCAGTTCCATTCTCTGCCCTATGCAATGACTCCCAAATCTCAGTGGAGCACTAAGACTGGTGAAAGCAGTCTGCAAAGAAGACAGGGATGAGTTATATATGGCTCCTGCTTTCAGAACTGTACAGTTTAATAATAGAGAGAGCTGTGTGATAAAGTGTCACCGGGGCTACGGAAGTAACCTGTCTGGAGCACAAGGAAAGGCATGGCTACCCAAAGTGGACAGGAAAGGCCTCATAGAGCTTGAACTGATTTGAGTCTTGGTTACCAGGTAGAAAAGGGGGAGAAAGGTATCATATTAGTAAGAATACAGTGGGAACCTGTCAGCCGTTCAACCACTGCTTGAGATGCTTGGTATGTGAGGAATTGGAGATAACAATAGGAGAAGGCAGGAGAGGGCACATTCTATACCATGCTAAAAAGTTTGCTCAGGGAAGATATGGGTTAGCTCCTGAAGGATTTCAGCCACAAGGAATCATACTCTGCATATTAGAATTTATCACTTGGGTGGCAGGGTAGAGAATGCACTAAAGAGAAGATTCAATCAAGCAGGGAAATGTCTTAGAGATCTCGTAGATGGTCATTTCAGTAGGTCAGGTAAGAGCTAATGGAGGCCTGAACTAAGACAGTTGTGAAAAAGAGGAAGAAGAAGAAGCATACAACACAAGAAATAGGACTGTATGAAATTCATGAGACTTGGTTACTACCTGAATTTGAGAACAAAGGAAAAGGAGTCTTGATTGACCAAGATCCTTCTGTCTTAGATGACCTAAACAATGGTAATACTACAACCCAATATTGGAAATATAGGAAGAAGAAAAGGTTTCAAGGAAAAAATGAGTTCAGTTAGGGACACTTTGAATTTGTGATCTTTCTATGGAACATCCAGATGGTTATAAAAAGGGATCAAGGCTAGAGATGGAGATTTATAAGCTGGTGGTTGAAGCCACATGTAGCAAATATAGCAAGTGTCTTGTCAGTATCCCCTTCACACTCACAATTCCCCCACCTGCCACTCAAGGGCTTCCAAATGCAAGTTGGGCTCCCTTGGGAGTTCACTGGGTGGGCTGGCCACCTCTGGGGGTCAGGAGGAGTGACTGCTAAGGGATATGGAATTTCTTTAGGGGGCGATGAAAATATTCTAAAATTAGATAGTGGTAATGTTGCATAACTTTGTGAACATACTCAAAACCAGTAAACTGTGCACTTTAAAAAGGTGAATTTTATAGTTTGTGAATCGTATCTCAATTGTTAAAAATTGTGCGAGGCAAAAACGAATCCTATGCTCAGCTGAACTGACCTCTATGGTCTAGAACTGGGCCCCATGTTTTTTTACAACTATGTGCTTTTGCTCATGGTTGCTTCCACCTGAATTTTTTTCTCATTCCCCTCCCTCATATTTCCAAATCCTACTCGTTCTTCAAAGCCCAACTAAAAGCCTCTATGTCCACGCATTTAGCTTTCTCCAGGTCAGGGGTATGTCTTGTACTTCTCTGCCATCTCCTAACCTTTTATTTTGCCTCCTATGTACCTTTTTTATTCTTTTCTCCATATGACAGATCTTTACATACCTCATTTAATAAACACTAGTCCCCAAGAATAGCAATTGTTTCACTTATAGATCCCATCAAATGCCATGCACATAGCCTCTCAAAAGTGTTTATTGAATCAGTATACCTGGGACTGGAAAGTTTTAAGGGCAATCTAGGAAAAAAAGGCAAGCCAAATTCACCTCAATTAGCTTTCACCTGCACACTCCATCATCACTTAAGGAGTGATGAGACAGTTCAAAGTCCAGGGTTAATCAGAATTCTTTCTGGAGATACTTAAGATTTGGAAATTTGAGATATATGATCAGGGAACCAATTATAGTACAATATTCAGCTCAGTATAGTCTGGTTAACTATTAAAAGCAAACCCAACAATTGTAAAACCATTTAGTGATTTTTATCCTGCACGGGAACACGTAAAACTGTCAGTGTAGACTGTCACAGTGATGGCTTCTGGTTAACCAAGTACCTGTGCCATAGGATCTTCCTTTGATGAAGTAAGAAAGAATTCATTCTATGGCCATAGGGATTCCTGTGTCATTTAAACACATCACTATTATCTTAAATTTCCCTTCACAGACTCAAGCTTATTAACTTTTCTTTCTCTGTGCTGCCAGAAGATGTGGTCCTGTAAAAAGCTCTCTTTTAATGTGAATAATACCTAACATTTACTGAGCATTCACTTGTGAATTTTTAAAACGGTCTTTCATGTGTTATGTCATTTAGTTCTTACACAACTCACAGGGTGAGGAGTGCTATCATACAAGGTAACTGATGCTGAGATGGAAGCTGCCTGAGGTTGCTGTGCCCATGTTCACCCAGCTGTTCAGTGGCAGAACCATGATATATATATATACACATACATACATACCTGGGTGGACTACCTTCAATATTCACTGCACGTGTGGTGCACTCAGGGCATCTCTTCCTTCTCACAACCTGTGAGGATACATAATCATCTTTCCTCATTTCACAGGTAAGAACATCAATTCTTCAATGAGATTGAGCAACATGCACCTGCGACACAGCAGAGACTAGGTTGGATTCTGTCTTCTGAGTCCCACCCTAACCATTTCCTTCTAACTGGTGCCCCAGGGCTGTGGCAGTTTCCAGACCGTGAGTGAGGGAGCCCACTTGTCTAACTCTTTTGCTTCGGCCAGTGTTGGCATGAGAATTAGTTTTACTACTGGCTCCCTGTCCAGGTTCATAGCACTTTTGTTCTCTTTCTCAGTTGGTGTTTAAAATAAATGATAATCAGTCTACAGTGTTTCAAAAGAGAGGTTTTTGGAGCACCTGGGTGGGGTGGCTCAGTCAATTAAGCATCTGACTCTTGATTTCAGTTTAGGTCATGATCTCAGGGTTGTGAGATCGAGCCTCCAAGTTGAGCCCCAGGACAGGATCAGTGCTGCTAAGCATGGAGCCTGCTGAAGATTCTCTCTCTCCCTCTGTCACCCACACATTCACACACACACACACACACTCTCTCTCTCTCTCTCAAAAAAAGAGGTTTTTAATTAATATTAAATAAAAATGAAATCCAAAAGCATATTTATGCATAATTTTGTCCTTTTGGAGACACATTTTGAAATCACAATGATACACAGAAATTACTGGGAATGAGCAAGACAATTGTTTTTTTTTAATTACAAATTACCTGGATATTAAAATTTAAGGACCCTGTGTGAAATCTGAGGTAGTGTATATGCAGTAGCCTCTCCCTTTAGTTACCAGATTTTTAAAATCCTCCTTTTAGTTGAACTATCCCTACCACAATTCTTTGATTACATTCTGTTATATATTTGTAGATATTCACGTTTATTTATATCTACAAATATATTTATAATATAGTATACAATCAAATGGTAAATTATATAAAACTAAATATAAGTGCATATAAAGAAAACAGAAGGGGCTATGTGTAATAAATAAAGCTATATAAAAATGGATGAATGTGCCTGGCTTAGAGCTTATGTTCAATAAATGGTAAATATTACTAGCTTTTATATACAAGCAGAAGACCAGGGTCTTCTACAAGTTTAGTAGTTTTTTTTTATTTTTTTAGGACTAGAATATCCCAAGCCCCCTTTTTTTGGGGGGGGGGCTAACATTTCATGAAATCTTTAATTAAATTGGGGGAGGGGCACAAACAGAAGGGCGGGGCAATGGGGACAGGCCTGGGGGCAAGGGGCACAGGGCTGGGCAGGGCAGGGGGCTCTCCTCTTCCCTGCAGCAACCCTCCCTCCATCATCCCATAACAAAATGTGATAAATAACATGAAAATTATCTATCAAGAGCTATAAGAATCCCTAACAATTACTGAGAGCCTGCAAATCAGAGAAGACAGTTCCAAGGATTTAACAGTTCAAGCTAATCTAGAGGGAGACTAACTAAATCTTTTACAGTTATCCAGATGTGTGAGATGGAGGGTCTGGATTAGGGTAGTGGCAGTGAAAACTAAGGAAGGTCATTTTAAAGGATATATAAAGTGTGTCTCTACTGATTAAGATAATAGATACTAAAGCACTTTTTCCCACAACTGTTTTATTAACTCTGTAGTGACACACAAAAAGTTTCTGAATTTTTCATCTATGTTTCAACATCATAAAAACCCCCCCACAAAAACAAAATAATTCTTTTAAGTAATCACATTCCATAAATTAAACCCAGCTGGAGTTTTAAAAGAATGAGCATTTCCTCTAGTAGAGGCCTTAGTGAATCATGTTTTTCTCTGTTTAGGATTCTGAATCAAGTAGCTCTGCTCTCTTAAGTCACAAGTGTTGATTCTCTTTGTATCAGGTAAACATCTGAATGATTGTGTTGTATGTCATTAAGGACAAGGGAAGCCAGGGAATGTGGGACAAGATTTGCAACTATAGCCCCAGAAGAAAAGAACTGTAAGCTTCCAGTTCTCATAAACCACCACAAAGAAATAAAATCTTTTCCATCATGGTCATTCTGATTATATTTTCTCTCAAGGCTAAAAAAAATCTCACATGGGAATACATTTACTTATTAAACCAATTCTTTATCACTGTAATGCTTTGGGAATAGGAATAAAACATCTTTAAAAAAATATTGAGGAAATTGTAGTTCATATCAATCAAAAAATTATAGGTACAGGGGGTACCTGAGCAGCTTGGTTCTTTAAGCGTCTGCCTTCGGCTCAGGTCATGATCCCAGGATCCTGGGATGGAGCCCCACATTAGGCTTCCTGGTCAGTGGAGAGCCTTCTTCTCCCTCTCCTTCTGCTGCTCCCCCTGCTTGTGCTCTCTGTCAAATATATAAATAAAAATCCTTTAAAAAATTACAGGTACAAAGATAGTCTTTTGCTAAAATGTATTGTTGAAAGATTCATCTAAAGTGGAGGAGACAATTTTATTTTTAAAAAGAGAAGCAGAGCAGCAGAAATGCAATGAATATATGTATTCTCTCTCACACACACAAATCCTTAAATCTCTGTATAGTATCAGCTTGATTCCTTAAGAAAAGTTACTTCTAGGAAGAGTAATTTCTGTCTCTTTAAGGACCACGAGAGAAAATGGAAGTCACTAGTGAGATGGGACTGGCTGTAAACTGCTCCAATGAGGTCCTGGGAATCTTGCTGAGAGAGAATATTTGGGGCTGGACTAAAATGTTTGTTGGGAAGGAAGAAAAAGGCAAAGTTAGGTAAGGGCGTTCTTTAAAAAGAATATAAACGAGTAGATTTACTTTCAATTTTAAAATAAAACAATAGCGGAACAAGACTAAATATAAAATATTAGATCAAATTAGATACATATTACTGGATATGGGATATTTAGCAGTTTTCAATTCCTGAGGATATTTCAGAAATGTCTTTTCTAAGCAATAGCTTCAGAGTAGATCAGAGTTATACACAATTTCAGTTGCCCCATCTTTAATACAAATTATTTTAAAATTCCCGTTTCTGGGCAGCCCCGGTAGCCCAGTGGTTAGCGCCGCCTTCAGCCCAGGGCGTGATCCTGGAGTCCCGGGATCGAGTCCCACGTCGGGCTCCCTGCATGGAGCCTGCTTCTCCCTCTGCCTGTGTTTCTGCCTCTTTCTCTCTCTGTATCTCTCATGAATAGATAAATAAAATCTTTAAAAAAATAAGATTCCCATTTCTTAAGTTTAAAAACAAGAACATCTGGGGATCCCTGGGTGGCGCAGCGGTTTAGCGCCTGCCTTTGGCCCAGGGCACGATCCTGGAGACCCGGGATCGAATCCCACGTCGGGCTCCCAGTGTATGGAGCCTGCTTCTCCCTCTGCCTATGTCTCTGCCTCTCTCTCTCACTGTGTGCCTATCATAAATTAAAAAAAAAAAAAAAACAAGAACATCTGTCAAGATTGATGACTTAGTATAAAACGGAGGAAGCCACTTAGCTTTCTTTTCTCTCTGTTCTCAGAAGCTACCTTAGACCACTGCTTGGGGATGGATGGATGGTTGACAGTAGCCCATCCAGTCTGTCTCAATATATTTCACTCAAGTATTTTGGAGATAAAATCTTGACGGAAGGAGAACTAGGTCGTTTCTGGGACCGTAACTGTCAGCGGGTCAGGTTTTCCTCTTACCTAGTTATAATTTATCACATAGTGGGTCGTCCCCCCCCCCCCCAGGTCCTCATCCCGATACCCGACCCTCCTCCTCCCCGGGCCTTGTTACCCTTGCTTCCCTGGACGTGGACGCCTAGGGTCGTGACTGTTGACTGCACTTCACTTGGATGGGTAGGGGACACATGCGAGTTGAAGGACGGACCGACAGGAAACACAGAACCCTGAGAGTAGCCACTTCAGTACACTCTGCTCCGACGAAGGGCTCAGGAGGTCTCCGCCTCGCCTCCGGTGCGGAATGCCCGGGGCTCTGCGGTGCCAGGCGGCCACCTGGAAGGCAGGCCCGAGGGAGGAAAACGTGGGGAGCAGGGAGACAGGCTCTCGGGGTGTGGACCCCTTTCAGGTGCCCCGTTCAAGCTGTCACCTCTTGGTTCCTCGCCACCGGGGCCTCCATCAAGGGCGGACGACAAAAGACGAAAAGGCAACGACGGGGCTCAAGTGCCGTGTGTCACTGGTTTAAACGCACGGTCGCGCCCCGCTCCCCCGCGGCCACGGAGACGCAGGGACGTCCGCGCCTGCTGAGCTCCAGCTGCCCTGCCCCGCGCAGAGGCACAGCGACATCCCCGCGCGGCTCCCACCCGCTCGCGCCCGCCCGGAAACTACAGCTCCCGGCAGGCCCCGCGCCGGCCGCGCGCCCCCGCCCCGCACGCCCCGGCCCCCCGCCCCCGGGCCTCAGGACGGGACGGGGAGGAGGGAGGGAGGGAGGGAGGAAGGGGCGCCAGCGGCTGGCGGGATCCTGCGAGGCGCGTGAAGCCTCGCTGGCGCCTCGTCTGGACTCCAGACGCTGGCGGCCGCGGAGTTTCTCACGACTGGGGGAGCCCGCCTCTGTAAGTAGTCGCCTCAGGGAGCGCGGATCAGACCCTGAAAAAGTTATCGTCGCCGCGGCCGCCGCTTTGTTCTCGCGGCCCGTCGGGTGAGGCGGCGGCGGCGGCGGCCCCTCCCCCACCCGCCCGCCCGCCCGCACGCGGCGGCGGCGGCGGCGGCGGCAGCGGCGGCGGCGGGACTCGGGCCCCGCGCGGGGCTGGGCGGCGACCGCCGGGGCTGGGCGGGAAGTTGGCGGAGCGCGAGGCGGGGGCAGCGGGCGGGGGGCGCCGCGGCGAGCGGGGGGCGCCGGCGCGGCCGCCCGCTGGGGCTAAGTTCCGGCGTGGGCGCGGAGGCCGAGTTGGGTCGGCGCTCGGCGGGCGACCACCGCGCGCGGCCGCGTCGGGAGCCGGACCGGAGAGTCAAGCTGCAGAATGTGGGATGAGATGAGCCTTCTGCTGCTGCTGCTGCTGCTGCTTTTTTTTTTTTTTTTTTTTCTTTTCGTTTCATCACTTCGTGTTGTAGCCTTCTCAAAAGGAGTGAGTAAATGGTGCTTAGAGTGTGAGCCCCCACCCCAGTTGCCTGATTGTGCTGAGTTTTGCAAGTTGCAGCCTTGCCGTGGAGTGAGCTGTTCTCACCCCCGGGGAGGATTTTCTTAAGATGAAACGCTGAGGAGCGCGACTGTTTCTTGGAGCAGTAACAATAACCACGTACTACTTACTGGTCGATGGCCTGTTGGATGTTTTATCTGAAATCCTCTCAGTCAGAAGCGTAGGCCTTGCCGACAGCGCTCACGAATATGAACCAAGCGACAAGCCCGTGGGAGACCTGCAGACTTTTCCGTACACAGATTGACGGCTTGGACTTAACTGTCTCTCCAACCACACCCATCCCCACAGGAAATAAGATATCGGTGTCATCTTTGATTAGGAAGGATAAGTTACACCCTGAACTACTATTTTGTACGACCCAGCTTTAATGAGCTGTGGCCGCAAATGAAACAAAAACTTTTTAAAAATGCCTTGATCTGTACTCTGGGAAATGCTGTATTGTATTACTTGTCGCTACTTCTACTCTGTACTTAATATTGCAGTTCTGAACCAACATTTTAGCGACTGTGATTTTTGCTCAGATCGAACTTACATGCCAACGTCTAGCGCGTTGAGGGCAGGGAATACCTACCTCTCAGTTTGCGACTGTGGACATCCATAAAAGTTCCCCGAGCTAGCTAGCTCTCGACTTCTAAGTTTTATTTTATTAAAGAACCTTTTTTTCTTCCTCTCAACGTTAGGATCTGCATTGAGAGCAAGCCTGAAAATTCAGCCGAAAAGAAGTTACAAGTTTTATAGTAAAAGCATTTTAAACATGTCACAGAATCTTTCATGTTAGGTTTTGGTTCAGCAGGTAACATAGATGTATGGTAGACCTGATCAGATAAGCTGGCGGTATTTAACAGGCCAGTTTCCATACTAAGTTCTATAGTTCGGTGGATAGCGTTTCACTTTTTTTTTTTTTTAAAGATTTTATTTATTTATTTATTTATGAGAGAGAGGCGGGGGGGGGGGGGGGGGAGAGGGAGAAGCAGGCTCCATGCAGGGAGGCTGATGTGGGACTCATCCCTGGACTCCAGGATCATGCCCTGGGTGGAAGGCAGGTGCTAAACCGCTGGGCCACCCAGGGATCCCCCAGCATTTCACTTTTTAGGATGACTCACATTCAAGATGTTGACTGATATCCTGAGACTAATTTTTTAAGCAATCTCAGGTAATAATGAGTCTTTGAGATATGCAGAGCTTTCAGTTTCAATAGATGACCTCTTTATTTTATTTTTTTTAAATTTTTTTTATTTATTTATGATAGAGAGAGACAGGCAGAGGGAGAAGCAGGCTCCGTGCACCGGGAGCCCGACGTGGGATTCGATCCCGGGTCTCCAGGATCGCGCCCTGGGCCAAAGGCAGGCGCCAAAACGCTGCGCCACCCAGGGATCCCAATAGATGACCTCTTTAAAAGAAATTTCTCTCAGGTAGTTTTTAACTTAACATTGGCATATGCAAAAAAGGCTTTAATAAATCAAGCCTTAGGACGTTAAGGTTTTAAAATTACATTGGAATTGAAAAAAAATCTCATACGGAAAAAAATGAATTTAATGGTCATTAAATGGACTTTTAAGGGACATTTTCTCATTTTTAAAAAGACTTTCTAAAATAGATGAAAATATTACCATATTGAAATTAGTTGCTCATTTTTAAAAGAAACTACTTTTACAGAAATGGCTATGTGGGGAAATTATTTGCTAGTACAGATTTTTATTTGATTTAATAATCATTCTTATAGTTCACAATCTTCTGTGCTGGTAGTACCTTGAGTCTCTGATTATGTAATTTAAATTGAACTTGTATGTGTGCCTCTTTGGAGCAGTGGGAAAATTTGAGATGATATACTTAGGAGATGTTTTAATTTTAATTTTAGTACAGAATAAAAATTTTCTCCACTTGTGTGGTGTACAGTGACATTGTATGAGAAATTGCTCATTGGCTGTTAGCCAGTCAGATTTCTCAGATATCACTGGGCAAAGAGAGGCGATGAAGGTTCATCAAGCCCAGCATAGATTCATACAGCATTGCCAGATTGGCAGGCTGTAATCTTATTACTGGATAAACTTTTCAGTGCCTGAGCAGAGAGCAGACATGGTGTGTTCACTGTACTCTCTCTGAGAGTGGAAAGGTCTGAGATTTAAATGTCACTAGTCCAGATGAACAGAATTTTAGCAGCAACAATTTAGTTGAATGCTCAGCTCTTAGGAAAAGTATTATATTAATCTAAGGAAACAGTTATATTTTGAAAATCTATAGATGTCGGGATTGCTACAGACTATGAATTTAAAAAACCAACAAAGCTATTTGAATTGTTAATACAGTATACGATATAAAAGCAATACTAAGATTATTAAGCCAGGTCAAGCCTGTATCAGGGCAAAACATAGACATTGACTTCGGGACACTAAGAATTGCTCTGAAAAAGGCCCCATGCTTTTTTACATGTTAAAAAAATACATGTATATATCAAATCAACAGGAAAAAAAAAAAAAGACCATTCATTCATTAGTGTTCCTAGCACACAAAACTAAATCGAACCACTACTGGTAGGGAGTCATGGTAGATATTACGTAGTCTGAATAGGAAAAGCGTTTTACCTCTTTAGTCTTTACTGATTACCAGAAGGATCTGGCTACACTAAATAATGAGCTTCCTTTTGAAGTGTTTAAAAACTGGATTTGTTTTGTCTTCCTGGAATCCTCTTCCCTCCTCTCTCTCCTTCCCTGACTTCTATTTATCCTTTAGGTCTTAGCTTATTAAGCACACTTCCTTAAGGTCACCTTGTTTGAGACCCCAGCTGAAATTAGGTCCTTTAAGTATACTTGTCATATCATTTTTCACAATTTGTAGTTAACTTGCTATTTTTGTGTGTGGTATTTGTTTAATGTGTGTGTCCCACATCACTCTGTAAGCTCCAGAGAGAGCAGTATCCATGTATGTTTTGGTTACTGCTGTATAACCACAGTGTCTCTAATAGTCTGGCATATAATAGGCACCCAGTAAATGTTGAAGGAAAATGCTTTTTGAGATTCTAAGTAGAGGCTTTGCTAAATTAGGAGATATGTACATGCAGGAGGGAGATAAGGGATTGGGAGAGAAAGGTGGATCGCCTTGTGATGTTTCCATAAAGTGACGGGCCTTTGTTTTACCTTGTCTGTAGTAATAGGGCAGGTTGGGCTCAAGATTCCTTTTTTTTTTTTCCTTTAAAGATTTTATTTATTTATTCATGAGAGACAGAGAGAGAGAGAGAGAGAGAGAGGCAGAGGCAGAGACACAGGCAGAGGGGGAAGCAGGCTTCATGCAGGGAGCCCGATGTGGGTCTCCAGAGTCAGGCCCTGGGCTGAAGGCGGCGCTAAACCGCTGAGCCATCGGGGCTGCTCCTCAAGATTCTTTTAATGTTTCATCTTTTGTTTCCATTCAACAGTGGTGATGGATTATGTAAACTCATTTGGATGGGATATGTGACAGAAAGCTCCCCAAAAGAGTATTTGAGATGTTCCAAGTAAACATATTAATTGGCGTTGGTGGTATAGTGGTGAGCATAGCTGCCTTCCAAATAAACATATTAGAAATGCTTGCCAATTGATAGCTGTTAGAAACAAACATATCTCGATACATAGTTTATAAATTAGTAATTGTCTTGTCTTAGTTTCCTAATTGAAACATAAAGACAAAATAAGTTAGTTACTAGATTTTTTTGATACTAATCTTAATATTTTTCAGCCTACATCCTACTGCATCTTACCCAGCAAATCAGGGTTCCATAAAATAAAAGGAGAAAACAGATGGTTTGAGTGGGCAGAAGCTAATATGACAGCTCATTTAGTTTCTTCTATTTGTTTTCGTGCTGCCACTTTAAAAAATCTTTTTTATACAAAATTTCCAAGATGTAAAATTTATGTAGCTGAGTAATAGTTATCAGTAGTTCTGAAAAATTGGTTGATTGCATTATTAGACAGTTACTATTATTTGGCTAATATTAACAGGTATAATAAAATGAAAATTTAGGGCAGCCCTGGTGGCGCAGTGATTTGGCGCCGCCTGCAGCCTGGGGTGTGATCCTGGAGACCCTGGATCGAGGCCCACATCGGGTTCCCTGCATGGAGCCTGCTTATTTAAAAAAATGAAAATTTAATGGGAAGACATCCATCGAAAATAAATTATTACTGAACACAGCGGTGTCTTGTATTTTGAAGTATTTAACCTAAATACAGTATCATTTGTATTTTACTACCTTTTTTTTTTTTATCACAGTTTAGCTTTTGAAACTACTAGAGTCAAGTATGTTAAGTAAAGCTCATTACCTCAGGAGGTGGAGGGAAATAGTAGAAAGAACATGGGCTTTGCAGTCAGGGAAACTTTAGTTTGAATCCCAGGTTCCATCTCATATTAGCTGTGAGCAAGCAACTTCTCTGAAACTCTAGTTCCTTTCCTTAAAACAGAGTTAAATCTCATAGGGTTGTTATAAGGATGTAATAAAGTATCATATCCGAATTACAGCTTTTGGCCTAAAGTAGGACCTTCATGATTAATTCTTTCATGTAATTACTATGAAAATTATTGGGACTTAATGAGCACTTAACTGTAAGCCAGATCCTATTGAAGGTACTTTACATGCAGTAGCTTCATCCTCATAATGTCCTGTGAAGTAAGCAAGTACTGCTCTTATCTTTACTTCTCTGCAGTGATACTGAATAAAGGTGATTATTCTCCTAACACCTTTTCAAATATTTGAAGACCATTATTCTATTTAGCTTTGTTAAGCATATATTTGTCACATGACATCGTTTTAACCTTTATCTGGATGCATGCTCTTATTTTTTTTTAATCAATATAACTCTTATAAATGTGGAGTGTACAAATGAGTACAATGGTAATGTAGGCTGATCAGCAACAGAGTTTACAGATTGATGTTGATGTGTTCTCGGTGTCCTGGGGGGTTAGATTTGCATTGATTCTTTTAGTCAACGATTAGCAGCCCTTGTTAATAAAATCTTAGGTGGCCTTTTAAGAAGAGCTTCTGAATGAGCTCTTCATTTCTTCTTCATTGCATATTTAACTTTTTGAAACTAAATGTAAAGCTTTACACTCACCCTTGTTACATTTCACTTTGTCTGTTTATCCTTGATTGTATACTCTGAGGAATTTATAAGCATGCCTTCTGTGTCTTTATCTTATAAATAGTCAAAATATAGGGCCAGGGACAAAGTTCCAAGGCACATCCCCTAAACACTTTTTTCATCTGGGTTGATATAGACCAGGAAACTTCCCTGACTGCACTAACATCCAAGTCACACTCAACATATTTTCAAAAACAGCATGGAAAACCATCTTGAATACTGTTTTGTCCAGAATACACTCCCCCCACCCCACCCCGGCTTTGCTAATTGTGTGATCTTGGGCAAGTACTTTAATTTCTAAGCCTGTTTTCCAGCTATAAAATGAGTTGTTGCAGAGGATTAAATGAAGTAACACACATGAAGTGCTTATCTGACAGATAGTTGGAGCTCAGTGACTGTAAGTTATTATTCTTATTTCCTGCATCTAAGAAGTCTGAAAATCATTCTTTCCAAGATCTAAATGCAGTGGATTTGGCATTATTTGTTCTGTTTGAATTCATGCTGTCATCTAGTGATTATTATATTCTTTTCTGAGTATTCAGACACCACATGTTTTCATAATCTATTTTCAGATTTGACTAAAGATTAATAATTAAGTTTATATGTCTGTGATTTCTGAAATCTTCCCCACTCTCCCAGCTCATAAAATTTGAAGCAGCTCTGACCCATCTCCAGGCCCTCAGCCCTCTCCAAGATTGCAGGAGTCAGCTTTGTGATTACACTTGTTAATTGCTTTAGCTGCATAGAATGAATTGCATCTGGAACCAAAGACTTGCACTCATAAAAAGTTGTTTTAGTTTCTCTAATTCACCAGACTTGGGTTTCGGTTCTCATTGCTCTTCTACAACTTTAGTTTAAAAACTTAGGAGAAGATAAGCAAAATACAAGTTGAGCAATTCTGCCTTCTTTACGTGCTCTCTCAACCTTAACAACATCCTCTCTGAGCAGTGATTCTTTCAGTTCCTTGTTCTCTTTGACAAACAGTATGTTATTGTGGAGATAACCACTTGGTAAGAAAGTATGAAACTTGGGTCCTAATTCCCCCTCCACCTCTTAATACCCATGTGCTGCTGTGCATGTTGCTTTATCTCCTTATGCTTCTGTTTTTTTCATCTGCAAAAATCTATTTGTCTCCAAAGAGATAGGCATAAGGTAAAAAGTATGTAAAACATTTCTAAGATGTTGAGTGCTGTCACATATAAGGTGGAATAATATTTATTTGAATGTGGTTATAAAAGCTTTTATCTTTGAACAGTTTTTTTTCTAAGCGTTAGTTTTTCCTGAGCTTTCGAATTCTTGTTACTGTATCTGTATGCTTTGCTCTCCCGTTATGTTCATCCTAATTTATTTAGCCCCATTAACTACTCTCCAGAGAGTCATTCTGCAACCACATTGGATGCTTCGGTCTTTTGGATCATTGGAATTGTTTACAGCTATATATGTAAAATTTAGACAGATCCCTATGAGTCATTTCGCTTAGGCCATCAGGATCATACCTTTTGTTTTGTTTTTGAACTGTCCTATTATAAACTGTGATACATTTGTAACAGCCTAGTGCTTTTTACTTTTAGAAAGCATTTATACTAAGATCACTTCCTCTCATGTTCCTGTCATAAATATGTCGTTCACATTATAACTGTGCATAGTATGTCCCCTTCGGCTTCCTTAGTCTTCTGAAAGAAATCTGTCAACAAAGCAAGTCACCAATCATATTTTGGCAGAATTAGACTTTCTGATATAAAAGAGAATACTCTTAATGTGTCTTTATTATGACACATTAATGTTATGCATCTTTTGTATGGCTGAGTGGTATGTACTTTATTTCTATAACAGTGTCAGTTTTAACCTTTTTAGTACCTTCTATTTTTTTCTTTTGGTTTGTTTTGTAGTCCTAAATCAGTTGTATATTTGTGGAATAAAAGTGTTTGATTTTCAGGTTTCAGGTATTAGTGAAGAGTGTCAGGGGCTTTGTGGTGGTAGCAGTGGTGATGGTGAGCAGAAGTGTTTTCCTAGAACTATATGTACAGCAAAAAATGTCTCTGATAACTAGACCCCCCAGAATGCCCACCCATTTGGATTTCTCAGTGAGTTATAAACATGCAACCAAAACTTACCATTTAAGAAAATTACAAGGGTTCTTGCAGTTTTAAAATAATGTCAAATGAGTATAAAATATTAAGAGTGTTTTTAAAATTCCTTTCAGGCTGACTGCATTTCAGAAAGCATCAACTTTTCGTCAGTGGACCCATTTGTCAAGTGAAATATGCCTGCACTGTTTTAAAAAGCTTTGTGCTTCATCATGGAAAAATTTCCTCCCCTGCCAAAATGAAAGACATTTGAGAAGGTGATTTAAGGTGTGGACATTTGAGAAAGTGCCCCATCAAATCAGTAAACCTCAAGATAAGAGTTAAATAGATTAATCCTAAACACTTATTTTTTAAACCAGGAGGATTTCATCTTAATAGAAAAACAACTTTTATTCAATATGTATTTTCTGAGATTAAAAGAGAGAGACAAGAGTAGACTTAAAAGAAAATAAATGAAGATGGTTAGTAAAGAAGCAATGTCAACTCTTTTCTGATGAGGATAATTCAGTAATGTTAAATCCTTTCCAAATCCTTGGTTGTGGTCCTAAAGACAAGACTTGTTTTTGATGGGACTGATGCTAAGGGAAGTAGGACCTTTTTTGTATTCTACTCACAGTTGTAGAAGTTGCAGTCATTGGCATGAGTGGCTTAAAAGAGGAATAAAATTGTTTTCAATTAAATCCAAAAGTACAGTCATTTTTTTACTGCTGTGATTTTAAAAGCCTCTTCATAACCACTGAAAAAAGAATTGACAACTCTTTTAAAAGATTAAAGAAAGGCAGATGTCTGCAAACAATTCCCCTCCATCAGCCCAGAAGTCTGTATTACCTGCTACTCTTCCTGCTGTGCTTCCAGCTCCTTCTCCCTGTTCAAGTCCTAAAACAGGACTGTCTGCCCGACTCTCTAATGGAAGCTTCAGTGCACCATCACTCACCAACTCCAGAGGCTCAGAGCATACAATTTCATTTCTGCTGCAAATTGGCCTTACACGGGAGAGCGTTACCATCGAAGCCCAGGAACTATCTTTATCTGCCGTCAAGGATCTTGTGTGCTCCGTTGTTTATCAAAAGGTACCATGCATGCTATTTATGTCAGTAGTTTTTCTCATATTGTTTCAGATACTTTTCTATAAATTATACATGCAACAGTGAGTTAACACATTTGGATCAATCGTTTATATCCTACTTTGGATCATTTTGGCAGAGTGCTAATAGACTAGAAGCCTAAAGTCTGAAATTTCAGATTCTAACAACTAGAGCTTTTATCCTAACTTCAAAATATTGCCTATTCAGTTTTTCTTTTGAGAAAGGAAGATTCATGTACAAGTCTCATTTGTTTTTAGAGAAAACAGGAGGTAGAGGGTGCAGGGCATCCAGGTGGCTTACCAAAAGGATGGGCCTCTGTCCACACCTCTTCCTAGGTGCGCTGTGTTCTGCCCTCTTTTTGTACCTTCTTCCTTCCCTTTAAGTCTTGATTTCACCTGTACTGCCATTTAATATGCAAAGACCACTCCCTCTTGCTTAAAAAAAATAGGTAAATTAGTTTTGAATACGACGATATATAAATTGAAGGTGGCTTCATTTTGTTTCCCTTCCTACCTCCTGCCCTATACTATACCATTTTTTGAAGAACCTGAGCTATAAATGTCTTTATTAATCTTGATTTGATGGGTAAATGTTCTCTATATTATATTAAAACTATATTTAAGTAAGAATTGGTTACATTTTATTTTTAATGGACTGAGCATATGTTTCAAACAAATTAGTATACTTCTTATTTTAAAAATCATGTTAGGTGAGATTGATATATTTGTACTCAGGCTCCTCATCTTACTGTTTGTGTTTTAACATCTTATGTTTTATATGATTTATTATTATCTTCTGATGTAGAAGTAATTAACAGTCTAAAATGTTATGCAGTTTGTAGAAATAGCCTGTGCCTCCTGTGTGGCAACAGTAACTTATCTATTGAAATGTGGCCTAAGGATTAACTTTCCTTCCTTAGATCTATTAATTGTTACAGAGGTTTTTCACAAATATTTTGACTAGGTTTTTAAAGGTAAGATTGTAACTTAACTACAGTTTGTAACTTGAATGTTTCCTTTTTATTTGAGCCGATAGAAATTGATAACTAATGTCTTAGTTGAGTCTGTTTTATTGTTTTCAATTTTATAAAATTTCACTTCGTTCTTATATACATACAGAGTCTTATATACATACTGATTTTCACATTACCTCATCCTTAATATAGATGTGAGATGTGGGTCAGATGGATCAAACTCTTAGGAAACTAGGTTAAAAATCATAATCCATGAACAATTACAGTGATAGCAAGGAAATTGGATAGAGCTGGAAAAAAGCTAACTTAGGGTAAACTTTATATAAATATAAAATAGAATTACTGATTATAGAGCTAGCCAGCATAAAATGAGTATCATAGTAAACTGAATTTGAATCAGTATTATAATGATATAGGGATGTATTTGGCAAAAATATATAGTATATATATAGGGCATAAACATATTACACATTATTTTTGACATTTGCTGGGATCCGAACTTGTTTGTGTAGCGTAAAAGAGTTTTGAGCTTGAAACTAGGTGAGCTGTAGTGTTTAATTTCTGTATAACTTTGCACAAGTGATGTGACTTCTCTAGATTACAGTTTCCAAATCTGTCAAATGATTGAGTTGGGACAATTTCTGGTGTGTAATTCCAGCAGTGAGATTCAGAATCATTTAATCTAAATTTTGGTCTTCACTGCTAGAGACAGATGAAGGAGAAAGGCGTTTCAGTGGATGACTTGCTCCAGGCTGAGTCCGAGAAAAATCTTAAGAGCATCAGCTTGAATTCTGAGATTTTATAGAGGTGTCTCATGGATCCCTAACTTACCTGGAGGATGGAAAAACCAAGTCAGAAGTACTTTTGTTTTTACTTTCCCTCTTTCCTATGGCACTTGTTCACTAGTCACCCATTTTCATTACTTGAACCTTGTATAGCTCCAGGTTTACTGCCAGTACTCTCATGGGCATGCCTGCGTTTCTTCACTTCTATTCTTGGTAATTGCATTTACCTGAACCTTTTAAAAGATAGGTTACTGGTTAAATTTTAGGAAATAGATTAACCAAATGTCTCTTCCCTCAAAAAGCTTATAATCTACTGAAGGAAACATGCTCACCAGAGTAAAACATAAAGAGTAGAAAGTGAAGTTAAAGAGTGCTCTTCTCAGATAGATAAAGGATGTGGGAAGACTTCAAAAAGAAAATGACATTTCATTTGATACCTTAAAGAATGAGCAAGATTTCAATAATGTGGTGGGAGGTAAGGAATACATTCCAGATAAAAGAATCAAGATGAGCAAAGATACAGAAGGGGAAAAGAGGAAGATTATAATAGGTAACATTTACTGAGTGCCTGCTTCAGGAGCTTTGCATTCACTTTTTCTGACTAATCCTCACAACACTTTGTGGTGCATTTCAAACTTTAATGTGTATGCCAATCATCTAGTGATTTCTACTACGATGTAGATTTGGGATGAGTAAGTTTGGGGTTGGTCTGCATTTGTAGTATACTCTTAAGTGATATCGATGCTCCTTTTCTAAGGACCTCACTGAGTAGAAAGGGTATAGGTGTTATAACTGCTACTGAATAAAGGAGGAAACTGAATTTCAGAGGCATTTAATTACTGAAAGTCAGAATTCAAACACAGGTCTTTTTTTTTTATGATTTTATTTATTTGAGAGGGAGAGTGAGTGAGAGAGAGAGAGCATGAGCGGAGGGGAGGGGCAGAGCAGGAGGGAGAAGTAGGCTCCCTACTCCATCCCAGGACCCTGGGATCATGACCTGAGCTGAAGGCAGATGCTTAACTGACTGAGCGCCCTGAATGCTCCCAAACACAGGTCTTTTTATTTTAACTCAAAAACCTGTATCCTCTTCTCACTGCACCACACTTAAAACTTCCTTGTGCCAAAGAAAAGTTTCCCACTTGATTCCTGTAAGAATGGAGATTTAACTAAAGTCTATGTGCAGCAATGCAACATGATCAGATTTGTGTTTTGGAAAGCTTAAATGTGTAACTGAGTGTAATATAAAGTAAGGAGATCAGGTAGGAAGCCATTATAATAAAGAATGGAACTGAAATGGTTGGAAAGTGATGGTATATTTGAAGGGTATTGGGAAAGTAGTGTTGGTAAAACTTGACAGCCTATTGAACATAGAGGAAGAATAAATGGCGGAAGGGCGGTGTGAGTGATGGATGGGCGTTGATACTGGTAACCAAGATAGAAAATTCAGGAAGAAAAGTAAGGTTTTTTGGGGAGATAATGGGACTGATTTTTATCAAACTCTAATAAGACAGAGTTCCTGTGTTCTAGAAATTTTTAAAGATTAGGGCCCTAGTGTCTGCTGTGACTCTTCAAATGGAATCATTATTCCTCCAGAGGAATCTTCCCATCTTTGGGTTTGCAGAGAAACAAACAAGGCTGAAAAGTAATGAAAATAGCTCTTGGTTTGGAGGACCAGAGGAAAAGCTTCTAAAAGTTAGTGAAATAAGCCCTACTTTTAAATTAAGAGAGGAGGCTACCTGACCTATAATTTCATGTTAACAATATTTTAGATATTCTAAAATGTATTTTTAGTCTACCCATAATACCAAAGGTATATTCCATGTATTTTACATTTTTTGCGGTCCATTGTTAACAATATATTAGTAATAATTGATATCAGATATAAGGAATAGGAATTTGACCTTAGGTTTAAGAATGCCATTTACAAATTTGTAAGGCTTTTTAAATTACTACTGTAGAGTATGGTTTGTGGAATTCTTTAAAAGTTTTTGTAATTATTAAAGAAGGAGACATTGTGTGTGTACATGGATGGAGGAGAGGGAGATCTACAAGATATATAGGATATATAGATAACATAGTAAGTGCAGAACAGGACATACTATGCTATCATTTTGTATTACACATGCGTACACATACATATGTACACATACATGATTTCTTGATTGTTTTTAGATGACCATGGAAGGAGAGAGAGTTTTCTTCCAGGAAGGGTACTGGTGACTGGGGGGAATAAGAGTGAAAAGGAGATTTACATTTCATTTATTCCCTTGTGTGCCTTTTGGATTTTGTGCCTTATACATGTATTCCATATTCAGAAATAATATTTAAATAATTTTTAGAATAACAGTGCAGTGATCTAAAAGGAATGACTATTACATTTTAAAACTATTTTGTTGGGTAAGATTGGATTTTATGTTGCTTTATTTTCTAGCACCTTTCAGACATTAACTAGAAATGTGCCATTTAATATATGCAGTTATTTTTTTCTCTTTAAAGAGATATTTTTGTTAGGTGTTTGTCTTTAAAAATCAGATGAGATATAATTTACTTATAATAAAATTCATCCATGCTAAGATCATAAGTTTGATGAATTTTAACAGTTGTGTGCAGTTGTGCAACTATCACCCATTCAAGATATAGAGCACTTCTGTCACCCCGTAAGTTCCCTCTTGTACTTTTGCAGTCTTTTCCTCATCCTCATCCTGGTCCTGGACTACCATTACTCTGCATTCTGTTACCGTGATTACATGTTTTCTAGATTTTCATATAAATGAAGTCATATAGAATGTAGTCTTTTGTTCTGCCATCTTTCACATATCTCAGTGTTTTTTGCTTTTTGCTTTTAATTCATCCATGCTGTTAGGTATGTCAGTAGTTCCTTTTTGTGGCTGAGTACTCTTCCATTGCATGGCTATACTATACTTTGTTTATTCATTCATCAGTTGATTGATATTAGAGTTTTTTCTAATTTGGGGGCATTATGAATAAAGTTGCTATGGACATTATTCAAATCTTGATTGTAGTTACATATTTTCATTTCCTTGGGGAAATTTTTAAGAGTAACATGACTGTATGCTTGCCAACACTTGGTATTTCCAATCTTTTTAATTTAACCATTCTGATTGGTATGTAGTAATATCTATTTGTGGTTTTAATTTGCATTTTCCTAATTACAAATAAGATACGCTATCTGTCCATGGGCTTAATTGCCATTCACGTATTTTTTT